GGTACATCTGGATGAACTCAGGCTAATGTGGCGTGTCCTCTAATGCAAAGGGAAAAACAGTACAAGAGTCATGATTAATTGGTCTTTAATTGGGTTTTGTGACAAGGTTAAAAACCACATAATAATGGAAGGACTATGAACTAGTAGTGCCTTCRTCACTCRGACTAAACCTACTAAATACTAGTTGTTCTTAACAGTATTTTCAAAATAAAGAAAAACTGCACTCTCTTGTTGCCTGTCGCTGGTTAACAATCACTTAAAATTGAAAAATAAGCCATCTTTACTTTAACGTTAGACTAATTCCATAAGTTGGTCCCAGTTTACTCTTGGTTCTATTGTTTGCAACTCAAACTGAGCAACAAAATGTAAACCCRAGGAATAWAAACCACAACTAATGGTATCAGTGKAAATTCGCATGAGAATGTTATAATGATTTGTAATTAAAAATTTCCRTTTTCAGGAAGGTTAMYATGACAACTGTTAATCACCTAGAAACCCCTAAAAATATCCAGGCAACAGACAACTCTAACAAGAGCAAGTGAAATCTTCACCCAAAKAGATGTATCAAAGAATGCAGCTTTCCTATAACCACGTACACTACATATTCTGTGCCTTTCTTCCCCTTTAACTTATAGCAAGTTTATCCTGATMATCCTGTTCTCTCTATCAATAGTTATTCTTAATGTAAAGCCAGCCTCCTTGAGACCAGCTTAACAGCACACRATGTACAGTATAATGCAACTCGAATATAAAATCATGTATCTGAGTTACATTGGAAMCTGTAATCAATGATATGATGTATGTACATTGTACATGAAATGTTGTACTATTTTTAAGCCAACTGGAACACAATGGAGTGAATATATTCCAAGCTACAAATACTGATATGGACATGTGACTGTGCTCATTTTGTTGCAACTCCTTTTTACAAGACTGATTTAAATATCATTGCATTSATACTACATGGAAAACTATTACTATTATTCAAAATACATAATATAAAAAACCTAAATTATACTTCAAAAACTGGGCTAAAATAATCAATTTTCCATCTGGAGTAGCAACAAATGGACACAGTTTATGTTTGTCAATCTTGTTTGACTTGTTTTWAATTCAGGTTAGACTTGTTTGACTTGTTTTTACCCAGACCAATAATAAATAATAGATAACCTTCAAATTGGTCTGTCTTAGAATAGACACAAAGGGCTGTTCATTAAAACTCACCCTGTTTAACTCAGGATTGTACAAAGCTGTATATATATACATTGATAAAATTTGATTGAATAGGCGAGATTTGAAGTGATATAAAACCAATCTTTGTAAGAAACAATAGACGAAGTATGGAGAGTGGAGTGATAACATTAGCTCTTACTTACAAACTAATTTACACTGAAGAATGACAAATGTCTTCACGAATAACTCATACCAACAGGTAGCTTAAAGTAAACTACAGTTTCAAAAGTTTTCTACTTAAACTTGAAAACATGAAGAGCAATGTTACCAGTAGCACTCTCTAGTTGATATTGTTTACGTTCATTTTTGAAGGAACACAAACAAAATGTACAGAGAACAGTGATACTAATTAATATCCTCCTTGAAAGAGCTAAAATCCAATGAAACTGGCATTGAAATGCAATGATTTGATGACCTTCAGTATTGTATGAAGCAAGAATGATTAGTTAATTTCATCCAAAAAGAAATTATTGTTTTTTGTTGTTC